ATGTCACTATAATTGTCTATCTATGTGTGAAGCCTTGCTTTTACATAAAAATTGCTCTCTATCAAATTGCTTATCCACTTCAATAGTTTGTAGCTCATTTTCCAGTTCTTTAATTTTCTATTCTTCTCCCAATCCAAATAACTTTAAAATATTTGAGGGAAAAAACCCACAGTTTTGGGAAAAGTATATAATGGATTCTTCATAGAGAACCTGAGGCACTTCTCTAAAGCCTCAAACACTATGTCACATAATCCTATTTTATCATACACAAACATACAAACATATGTACCTATGCCAAGAGAAAAGTCTCAAAGAAAATATACTAAAAGTATTAAAAGTAGACATCTTTGGGTTTTAGTATTATGGGTGGTCTTTATTTTCTTTTTTATATCAAAAGATACTTAATAATTTCTTTAATTTCATAAACAAATCACAGTTATATCTAGAAGCAACTATTCTTACTTAAAACCACAAAGCACAAAATAGTCCACTTCTGAATAGCAGCAACCTATAGATCATTTCTGGCCTGGTTCTATTTCTTACTGAGTTTTGGTTATTTTATTGTTTATTTGCATTTTGACTAGAAGGAAGGAGGTAAAGGAGATGACGCTCAAATTAACATCATTGCTACCTTATAGCAAATTCATAGAAAGCTTATTTTTAGGGGAGGAAGCACAAAATATGACCCAAATAAGGTTTTCAAATTATTTTATTAATTTCACATAAAAAGTTGTATCTAGTATCACTAAGCTTCACTTTATCAATATCATATACCTTTAACACAAAATGTTTCCTCTTCTTACTTTTTGGGATTTTCATGAATTTGAGAATTTTAGAGTTGGAAAGGATCTCAGATGTCATTTAGTTTAACACTCATCTAGAGTAGTGAAGTTCTTTTATACCACCCCAATATGTAATCATTCAGCCTCTTGACAACTTCCAATAATGGAAAATGTACTTCCTCACAAGAATTGAGGAAAATGTTTTCTTTCTCTTTTACCCTATTTCCATTTCTTTACTTTCCTCTATCTCAGAACTATTTTGCTCATGATCTCCATATTTCCTGAAATGTCTGTTGGTGTGCGAGAGAGGAGATAATACAAACATAAGGCAAATATAAAGATGCAATGAACATTAATGGGGGAGCATATACATCTGGATATGTAGATCGGAATAACAAGATGAACAAAGGACATTTGAAACGAGCCTTATAAGATTGATCATAGTTGACAGGTAAAGAAGGAGGAAGCAAGACTGTTATTCTGTTTGGTAGGAGTTTCAAACATTTGTAGGGGGCAGTGGGAGTAGAAGGTATCGGGGTTAGAAGAATAATTGAGGCCATGTTATGAAAGGCTTAAAGAGTCCACAGGTTCATATACTAGGCAATGAGAAACCAAGAAAGATTTAGAACAGAGAAATAACATGATCATGCAGGTGCTTCTAGAAGGTTACATTTTATCATATGGCTATTCATGGCAGAAGGAATAATTTCTTGTTATTTATCTCATAGTTGGAGCAATTAATGTTATATCCATAACATATATTTGACTTTATAGACAAGTACAGTCTGTACACTGATTAGATATCCGTACTTCATGTCAACACTGTAATAATCATATGGAGACTCTATGGAGACATAGTGATGTTGTTTCAACCTCAACAGGTTTATATTGTAGTGGGAGAAGTTGTCTTAAATGTAATAAATAAGAACAAAATAAGTTCTAAATAATAACAGACTGGTAAGTTCAGTAGAAAAAACAATTAATTTGAATAAAGTGATCTGGGAAAACTCCATGTACAGAGTGGCGTTTTAACTGGGCCCTGAAGAATGTGTTAACTCTGAAGGGCAAATAAAATGAACGGAAACCATTCCAAGTTTTAGATATAATATAAAGTGAAGTCTCTGAAGCAATGATGAGCATGTGTGTGTGTGTTCTCTGTTATTTTATGAGTTAGTCAGGTGTGGGTACCTGCCCTTCACCCCTCCTCCCTTCCATTTTCTATAAACTAGAAAGTTAGAGCTCAAGATTTATATTCAGGATCAACTCTTCTGGCAAGAATATTTCAAGATCGTGCTATATATTTCACATTGTTTCACATTAGGAGGGACATGTCTGGTTTTTCAATTTTTAATGATGCTGCTCAGTGGGTTCAGGTGGTGGCAGCCTAATCCTTCCATGGTCAAGTTTCCATCAACAATTCTCATAAGGGTCAACATTAATATTACTGACGATCATTGCCTGAATCAATTATTTTACTGGGGTGTTTTAAGTTCTATTATTCCATCTATATTTAGAAGGGGAATTCTTGGAATTCTTAGATAGAGAAGAACTTTCCCTCATCGACCAGGACTACTTGTTTACTCTGAAATATGGTCCATACTGGACAGGTAGAATAAATGCTTAATTCTTTTCCATTAACTAACAATTTTCAGAGGAAGGAGCTGGTGTCCTAATACTTCCAAGGATGGCCAATAATTATTTTTTGTTTTGTTTATATTTTTGGTTGCTTGCTCTCTCTCATCACCATGAACTCATAGATTTTATATATTCAATGGGTTTCAACCCATCGCAGTCATTCTCATTGATGTTAGAATTCGATGCTTTGGTTAATGGTCCCTTCGAGCTGACTACTGTGCCCCTTTCACATGGCCCTATTTGTTTGACTTTCCTCTTTCAGACCTGGAATCAGAAGCTTCTTTAAAGAGCCCTGATGTCTTTTAGAAGGGAACAGTATTTAGAAACAATCTGGAGGCTAGAGGTATTTATTGCTAGCGGGTTGTCATTTATTTCTAGGTCTTTTTCAGGGAGTTAGGAACTGTATATTTAAGAAACAAAATGTCAACTAATTCTGACATTTCCACTTAAAATTCAACATTATATGGTTTTAACTTAATTTTTTTCTCTACACTGAAGGTTTTGTTCTGACCACGAAGTTGACACTTGAACAACACGTTTGAATTGCATGGTTCCACCTATACATGTATTTTTTTTTCAATAAATACAGTAATATATTTTCTCTTTCTTATAATTTTCTTAATAACGTCTTCTTTACTCTAGCTTTTTATTTTAAGAATACAGTATGTAATACATATAACATACAAAATATGTGTTAATCGACTGTCTATGTTATCAGTAAGGCTTCTGGTCAACAGTAGGCATTAGTAAAGTTTTTAGAGAGTCGAAAGTTATATGTAGATTTTTAACCATGTGTGGAGGGGTGTCAATGCCCCTTTGCATTGTGCAAAGGTCAACTGTACTCTTTTGTTGTATCCCATGACAGCTGAAAAGTTACAATGCCAATATTACTACTAACAGTAAATCCACTGGACAAAGTTTATAATTTCTTTGCAATTCTTTAGTCCTTAAAATATAATCCACTAGGGTGTTCAGTTCAAATAAGGAGTTCTGAAGTCACTCTAATTTCTTTTCTAATTATGTCATAATATGATATTAGGTTATGTACACTTATCTAATTTTCAAATTCTAGGGTTTTCTTTTCTTTTTTCTTAATTTTATATTTTGCTCATGTTTCTAGAGTGTTAATCTTTTATTTCTCGATTTTTATAAAAGTGCTTTATACAATAGGGAAATTAACCCTCTGTTATTTAGGTGTAAATATTTCTTCTCAGTTTTTAATATCTTTTTCACTTTGCTTGTGTGTTTTTTAAACCATGCGACACCTTATTTTTTATTTTTATGTAGTTATATTAATTAATTTTGGGTTTTGCGCCATAATTAGAAAGATTTCCCCTATCCCAGATTTAAAAAAAAAAAAATACAAGTTTTCTTCTGGTACTTGAAGAATTTTATTTTTACATTTAAATTTCTTATACATTTGGAACTTATCCTGGCATATGGTGTGAGGTACAGATCCAATTTTGTATTTTTCCAAATGCTTACCAGATATCCCAACATGATTTATTTAAAAATCTGTTCAATTAACTGATTTGAGATTTTCATCTTTATCATATCCTAAATTTCACATACACTGGGGTCTCATTTTGGACTTTCTCTTCCGTCCCATTGGTCTATCTGGCCATTTACATATCAGCACCATCAATACCATACTGTTTTAAGTGTTCGGGCTTTAATGTCTCAGTATCAGGTAGGTAGAGCTTGCTCCCCCTTTCTCTTCCACCCAGTATTGCTCTGCTTTGCCAGGGTTTTCTCTAGCTATTCTTCCTTGTATATTATAATCACCTTGTCTGACTCCAGAAAAGAAACCAGACTGTATTTGTTTAGGAATCATCTTAAATTTATAGATTAATCTATGAGGAAGTAAGAACTTGAAGCTTTATTTTCTTATCCAAGATCAGGACATATATTTCCATTTGTTCAAGTCTATTTTTATACCTTTCAATAATGTTTAACCCCCATTTGCCCTGAGAATACTCGCCAGCAGCACTTGCAGCTGCAGTGTTTACCCTGAGATAATTAACAGATTACAGTCCTAATCTTACCCCCAAAGTTTGCCATGGAATATCTCGCTTTTATTATTATTTTCGCATCGCTCTAGTACATCGATAGTCTTTGGAAACAAAAGCATCATTCTGTTTATAGCATTCTGTTTTTAGTTCGAGTTCCTGACAATGTCAAATCCTAGAAAACGTAGCATTCCTACACGTGATGTTAAATGAATGCTGGTAGCAAGCTGCACTTTTTTTTTCTAAACTGGAAAAAGATTAAAAGTTTTCTTCATGTAAGTTTTGCTCATTTCTTGTAATTTTATTCCAAAGAATTTCTATTAGTTTGTTGCTACTGTAAATGGGACTTTTGGTAAATCTGATTGGATACTATTTGTATCTATGAAGGTTACTGATTTCTCAGGCTACCTTTTAATCCAGTTAAAGGCAGTCTTGTTTAGCCTACTAAAAGCAAAACAAAACATTTTTTTCATATAATTTTATTTGGTGGGAGGAACAGCAGTAAGTCTTTCTCAGTGATCACATTCCCACTGTGGAAATTAAGTATGTATCACAAGAGAAGACAATAACTCACCTTTGTGTATTCATCTTTGGCCTTGGTGAGCATTTGTAAGATATCTACTTCCTTGCCTTCTCCCGAATTGAGGATCGTTGGGGAGATTCCTGCTCCAGCTCCCTGATGGGCTTTCAACTGTTCATATTGAGTTAAGCTATAAAAGTAGAGGGGAAGATCCACACAAGAAAAACCGATTCAACACAAATGATTTTAAAACCATCCAAGTCTCACCCAGTTGTTTTTATCCTGTTATAATCATATTAGAAATAAGACCGCTTAAGAGTTGAAAGAAGAAAAATGAGATCTGAGGTCCTGAGTATACTGACTGGATATATGAATCTAGAATAGGAGCGGGCAAACTCCAATCAACAAGGTCAAATCCGGCCCACCACCGGTTTTTGTTTATGTGTCATTTAGTGTGCTTTTGCACACTAATGGCAGAGTTGAGTAGTTGTGACAGAGGCCTGATGGCCTTTCAAAAAAAAATTTACTGTTTTTTTTTTTTCAGAATAAATTTGCCTACTCCTCTTTAGAACATTTGAAAGCACTCATTAATTGCTGAGAAACTCAATTTAGAGTTCTCAAACATTGGGCAAACTACAAATAAGAATTTTCTTCTTCATTCCAAAGTGCCTTGGAGTCAAAGCAAGGTTAATTCCAGCAACTCAAACCCTGTAGTTCTCTAGCAGTTTAGAAACACAGTGAAAGCTACATTCTAGAAGAAGGAGCATTAAAAAAACAGATCAATGCGGCATCTCTTCTGTTTTCCTGAAAACAATACAGAAGGGAGACCAGATTGCTCCTATATGCTGCTAGGTGATGCTGATAAAAATACTTTTTTGTGTGTGTGTGCTTTGACTTTCAGCTCAAATTCTTTTATATTGCCATGAAGTTTGTGGCCAAAGAAATCTGAGAATTTGAGAGATTTAATTCTGAGGAAGGGCTCAGAATCCACACAAATCAGCTGCTTGTTGCTGGTCAACAATCAATTTCCTGCCTCAGCCGTTACATAATTACTGCAGAATGCTAACCACTTTAACATGGCCTCTGGCTGAGCTATAGAAGGTATTTTTTAATCCATATGAAATATTGCTATCATTACCCATTACACAGTTTACAATAACATGAATGTTCTAGGAACTAGTTGTTATGGTGGTGAACAATCACCCTCTGCAACCTGAGCTATTTACCTAAAATTAGCTATCACAAGCTAGATTTTCAGAAGTCAATTATTTATAAAAAAGTGCTCCCACATTTCATTTTTTGGGGTCATTTTTTAGTTATTTTATTGCCTAGGATTTAAAATTGGAAAATAGTTCTTTTGCAGACAGAGCTGCTTTGTTAAATCGTGTGGGCAGCAGCCATGCTATGTGCTTTGCTAGTCCAGTCAACCCTGAGTACAGCACATGTGGGAAATTCATTTCATTCTGAGGCTCTAAACCATCCCTATAAACAGCAGGAAAATAACTGCCTCACAGCCAGCAGCCCTGGGGCTCAAGAACTGATCAGAGTTGATCAGTTACAGAGGAGGCAGCATACTTACCTGGGCCTTCCTTTCAATGCAATCAGGGAAGCCAAGAGTGGGAAAGTCAGACAGTAATTTAAATTTCCCCAAATGCGGAATGGGACAAATCACAAGGTATCATGATATTAAAAGAAAAAGAGATTAATAACAGAGAGAGAGAGAGAGAGAGAGAGAGAGGAGACACTGTTTACTGATCGCTAAACTAATATTAAGTCAGATATTTCCAAAGAGATGGAAAATAAAGACTATTCTAAGTACTCAACAGTGTTTGAGATATGAGAAAATTCTGAGCTCCTACAACCATGGGTGTGTAGTTAAAGGAAAGCATTTAGGGTAAAAAGGGAATGAAAGATCTTAGAAAATCTGGAGCAGCCTTTTAGAAAGGCTCTGAATGTTCTTTTTATGAATAGGCATACTGATAACTTTTCAAAGAAAAATATTGCTAATTTACAAATAAGATATTAAGAAAAATTGCCATCTGGAACAACTCATTTTAAGGTATTTTATATATGCAGAAAAAAATGGGGTGAACCTAGTGATAAATCTTACCTAGTGAAAATGTAAAAAGTTGTATTTATGTCTGTTTTTCACTTATAAAATAATAGTAAATGTTTTCCTAACCATTGCTATAAGAGAGGTAGTATGTTAAGATTATAGTGTAGTTACAAACATTTAGAAATACAAACAAAAGCACCACGTCCTGAAAGAGTACTTAGCCTTTCAGCACTTACTTTTTCATAAGCTCTGCAATTCTTTGGCATTCTTCCTTATCATAAAACCAAATTCCATAAATGGACACTGAAAAAACACATCAAACAAATTATGAGCATCTTCAAAACTACAAAATGGAAAGAAATTCCTTTTCCATCTTGAAGGAAAATACACACTTACTGAATAAATGAAATCAATCATTGGAATTAAAGCTTGTAAATCTAGCACTGGAATTTTTTAAGCCCACAGAGAAATCTGTAGTGGTCTTGTGCATGCATACACGCACATACATCCTCCGATGAAGTATGCTGTCCTTAAAAACGCAGCACCTGAACATAATAGTCATTTGATAAATGCTTCTTAATGAATGGAGATGAAAAATGAAATATTTCTAAGCTGGTTTTGAAATGTAATGTTTCTATATTCCATTTGCACATTCTACACACATATTTCATCTTCTTTTTTTTTTTTTTTTAAGTATTCAGAAACCTGCTACACAAATGAGGCTTAGAAATCTCTCTCCCTTCTCCTTCTCCCAGGAATATTTTAACTGAGAAACTGGCATTGTAGGACATAAGTTAGGACAGGGTGAAGGAAAAAATAAAATTCAAAAATAATTCTCTGACTTCAAAATGTATGTACAGAAAATTTACAACTATTGAAAGCTTAGAAATGACTATGACTATCATTTAGTAATGAAAGAAAAATGTGGTATAATATAGCTGCTATTGATTCATTTAACAATTTTCAAATAAATTATATACTTTAGTATATGCCTATCTACATCATTTTTACAGAAAAGGCTAAACAGTTCCAAAACACGTTTATAAATATCTAGTTGAGGATCTGGTAGTATTAATCATGTAAACAATGCAGTGGCTACATATACATTTAAAAAACCTTAACTCAAAATAGATTAAGGACCTGAATATAAGACCTGAAACAAAAAATTGCATAGAAGAAAACATAGGAACTAAATTCAAGGACCTTAGGCTTAAAGAGGATTTTATGAATTTGACCTCAAAAGCAAGGGAAGTTAAAGCAAAATTAAATGAATGGGACTACATCAAACTAAAAAGCTTCTGCACAGCAAAAGAAACGGTCAACAAAGTAAAGAGACAACCATTCGAACGGGAAAACGTATTTGCAAGCAACATTTCCGATAAGGGCCTAATATCCAAAATATACAAAGAACTCATACAACTCAGTAACAACAAAAAAACAAATAACCCAATCAAAAAATGGAAAGAGGACCTGAACAGACACTTCTCCCAAGAATACAAACAATGGCCAACAAATATATGAAAAGATGCTTATTGCTAGCTATTAGGAAAATGCAAATCGAAACCACTATGAGATACCATCTCACACCTGTTAGAATAGCTGTTATCAACAGGACAAGTAATAAGTGTTGGAGAGGATGTGGAGAAAAAGGAACCCTCATACACTGCTGTTGGAACACAAATTGGTACAGCCACTATGGAGGTTCCTCGAAAAACTAAGACTTGATCTACTACACATATTTGCACACCGATGTTCATAGTAGTATTATTCGCAGTGGCCAGGACATGGAAACAACTGAAATGTCTTATGATAGATGATTGTCTAAAGAAGCTATGGTACATATATACAGTGGAATATTACTCAGCCATAAGAAAAAGTGAAATACTGCCACTTGTGACAACATGGATGGACCTTGAGATAATCATGCTAAGTGAAATAAGCCAGACAGAAAAAGTTGAAAACCACATGATATCACTTATGCGTGAGATATAAACCTAAAAGCAACAAACAGGACAAACGGAGACTCATGGACATGAACAATAGCCTAGTGGTTACCAAAGGGTAGGGAGAAATGGGGAGAGGCGAGGTAGACATGGTAAAAAGGGTCATATATGTGGTGACAGAAAGAAATCTAACTATGGGAGGGGAACACACAATGCAATATATATATATGCCTTACTGTTAAATTATACACCTGAAACTTACTGAATTTCGTTAACCGATGTCACCATAAAATAAATAAATTAATTAATTTTAAAAAAAGATAAAAAATCTTCATTGAAAATAGCAGCAATGTTATGATAGGGTAATGAAAACCAACAAAACATATTTTTAAAAGGTAATTTAAACTTTCAAATCATTTAATTATATGAATATTATTTGTTCATTAAAACAGCTATGATATTTTAACTACAACTTTTTCCCCATTCTCCTGACCAATGTCTTGGTATGGAGTTTCTGCTTCTTGTCAGTAATGATTCAGATATCAAAAGGTACAGGAAATGTGTTTTTAGTGCTATTTTAAGCAGATATCTTAAAAAAAAAAAACCCCTATAAACCTGAATTACTAACATGGCAATGGGATTTTAACTTTTTATATGATTGATATACCAGGAATCTTCATGTTGCCTACATACATGTGTGACGAAGGAAAAAGCAGAAAAACACAGCTTTTTCTTGAATGGGACCATTTTAGCCTCTTAGAAATACATACAGATATTCCCCTTTAATACAGAGACAATCTTTTGAAAAAGAACATCTGTGTTCTGAAGCCTATGTGCTGTGATAGCCTTTACGCCAAAAAGAAATTCTTTCATCTCAAGATCATTAAATGTATATCTTGAAATTTTTTATTCAAGATTGTTTCCAGTCCATCAACATCAACGCCTACCCTGATTGCCTACACAGATGCCTACATACTGACCCACGTAGCTTCATGATCTTGTAAGTAAATGTGAACTGGATTACTGACATTCAACTACTTAATAAGTCTGAATATGTTTATGTTTTGGTGGTTTTAACCTTAGTTACAAAACTAGGAGCCTGTTCTACTTTTTGGTTACCCAGTCCTGTCCTTGGAGGTTGAGTCTTCCAAAACTATCAAAGGAGATAGGTGTTGGCATGGGAGGCAAACACAACATAACTGAAAATTCAAGGCCCACTGGAAAAGGAAAAACAAGCCATTTGTGTCTATTGGTAGAACATATTAGTAGAAATATTTTGAGTGTTACTCTTTTAGACGTTACACATTCGTGGCATTTGACATAAGGAGCTAGATTTTCATAAGGGTACGATGCCAAGGAAACTGTTGATACAAAAAGGAAAGCAGTTTGACAATGTCATTTCCACAGATAACTGAAATGCAGATTTAGGGAGGAAAAAAGCTACAAAAACGTCTTTCAGATGTCAAAGCAGAATGAAGGAAAGACTGCGTTTGTAAGTGATTATATAAGACATTTTGGAGATTTCTTTAGGGCCTGACCATTTATCTCTAAAGCAACATGACCTCAAGATAAAAATGGATTGTTTTGAAACAGCTCTTTTCATTCCAGTTAATATTTAGTTTGAACATAAAATTTAAATAGCACGGGGGGAAAACAGATTTACCAACAGTCCTGGCTATTGAAAGGTAGCAGCAAGATAAAATGTACAACCGGGCCTAATTTTTTTCTCCTTAAAATAGTTTTGCAACTTGAACTGCATTCCATTGGAAAAGGGGCAATGAATTACATTAAAGTACACATTCTAACTGAAGTTTTTTGTCTCTTAGGCCCAAGGTCCCCGACCCCTAGACAAACCTATCACTCTTCTACACAAGAGGGTATATCAGAGTAGGTCGTGGTGACATATAAAAACCAGAGATCATCATGCCTTAGGGAGGTGGTGAGCTGACAGACTGACAGAAACCATTACCCTCACATTTCAATCCCAGTTTTCCTGTAAAGCCACTGCGGGAGAGGCCTATCCTTATGCAGGCAGTGAGCTTAGGAGGGGAAAAAAAGACAAGTTTGAAAAGAACCAAGGAAGATGTGTTTTTTAGGATTCTAAAACTTAAAGTAATTACTGTAACCTAAATTTGCAGTGATATGATATGGCTGCATTAACTTGTACAGCACTGAGATGTTACTGTGGGAATGGTTTCTAGGTTTTAAAAAATTACAAGGAGAAAAGCTCACGAGCAGGATATATACTTATTTTTAAAAACTGACCTATTAGTTCACATCAGGAAATTCACCATGCTTCGAGCCTTTGTTCAGCCTGCTATGCCTGCATATCAGCCGCTCCCCAGTCACCCGTCTGCCGAAACAGAGGTGAAGTTTAAGGGCACTTTGGTGCATGAAGCTCAACTCAACTATTTCTACACACCTCCTGGAGGTAAGAAACCAAAAGTGGAGTAAAGAATAGGAAGAACATGTTGAAATTTACTCTGAAATATTCTAATGACACCTAGAATGTGTGAGTCCCACACTATAAGGACTCATCTCTCGGCAGTCCTCTTTGCATTTAACTCAGAATTTTTAACAGCACAGTTGTGAAGTTCTGCCTAAAACCGCACTGTCCTAGTTTATGTCATGATTTGGAAATTCTCAATTGAAAGAAGGCAGAGTTTGAGGCAATACTACCTTTAGATATCTACCAAAACATCAATCTTCTTTCTTTTTAATTCTGCAAGAAAGATTAAGGAAAGCAAAATTTTCATGTTAGATTTCTTGTCTGAGAAGGGAGAAAGCAAGCTGATTATATTTCACAATGATATTTTCTTCTTTTTTAATTTCTTCAGCAGAAAATCTGAAGCTGATAAAATTTAAGAGGCTAGTTAAGAGATCATTAGAGGCAATATCAGATATCCTTAAACGCATTCATCTGAAACCCTTCGATTCTTATTAGCACGGCACATTAGTTCATTCTGGATGTTCTTTGGAGATTTGCCTCATCTAGTTTATGTTCCTAATAAATATTTCTATGCTTTCTTTTAAGATTTTATCATTTTTTCCATATTTTACCCCCAAATACCTTTCAACTCCAAATCATGAATGGTAGCTTGCAATCTTTTAATAAGGATTCATGCTAATATTTGTGCAACTTTAAATTATAAGACATATTTCCATGTAGTTAGTAAGTAATTAATACATAATTACATAGGTAAAATGTAAATAGGCAGAATAAGGATATCGGATTGGTAATGCTCTTCTCTCAGTCTAACAAGTCAGTATGCAGCAAAGAAGGCATTTAAATTCTCTCTTTTTACTCAGAAAGCTATGGAAAAGTGGCAGTGTAAATTACACAAATCTCTTCTGGGCACT